TGTCATGCCCTCTTTCTAATAACCATGTTTCTACAATATTTTCCACAGAGATAAAAATTGCAACTCGTTTGATCAGGATTTGTTGGAAACTGTGTGGAAAGCCTGTAACAATTTGTGCACATTACTTCTGAACAATATGCAGCTATGTGTGAAATAAAATAAACTCGACATGGTTGTAGCAGCTGTTTGCATTATAATAAACTCAGAGATGAAAGTTCCAGGGTCAGGCTTGGTCCTCTTTCTGTCCTAGGCTAATTACACTTTTCACGGACTTTCCTTGCACATCCTCCCATGTTTCCTAGGTAGGCAAGTCTTCTACAAGCAGGCTGACTTCTACAACTGAAGGGCAATGCTGCTTTTCCTTCCTGAGCTTAAGTCCCAAGTAGTTCAACGTTTCCGAGCTCTAGTCTTCCCCGAGTACCTGTGATGGGTCTGCACTTCTCACATGGGAAGATACCAGGTAGAGCCAGGACATGGAGCCATTTCTGAGCCACAAGGTCATGAAAGTCTGCCCTTAGGGCATTTCGGCCTACAGTCCAATTTCAGCCCAGTTCTCTGCCTCTAGAACTAAAGGTGTTATCACTTGTCGTTTTTCTGCCTGTCAGCTGGGAATAACATGAGCATTACACAAGAAATGCATTGTTCAGACCTAGCTTTGCTATGCACAGTTTTTGGAGAAATCTCTTGCTGATTCTAATATGCATGATAATGTGGGCTGCTGAACATAAAACACGGGGCATTTGCTTAGTAATAGGATGTGTTTTGCATAAAGCTGAAGATTCGAGCCATGGTGCAAGGAAAATAAAACAGCTTGAACATGATTAGGCAGGAGAATGGAATCAGCATGGATGTTGTCTGTCATTGTATAAATGTCTGTTGAGATCTGGGAGTCTCTTGCCATCACCAAAACTCAAGTGTGCTCTGCAGATGTTTCTGTACTCATTTGTTCATTACTCTGCTACTGAAAGCACTCCCACTGTGATTGGTTTGCCTTTGTGGGGTTTTGGTGTGTTTGGTTGGTTTTTTTTTAATAATCTGGGGTTTATATTTAATCATTAAGGCCTTTTTTTTTTTGTCACCTGTTAAAGAGGCTGAGGAGAACCCAGAGCATCACTTCTGTGATCTCTGCAGGCAGAGATGCATCTTGTGTGCCTAAAGTAGGGGAAAGAGAAAATGGCTGCCAGCCCTGACTTCCATACTTACAAAAAAAATTAAAATGGCATCTAATTAAACTTTATCAGTCTCCCAGATTTATCTCAGGAAGACATGACAACCTCTGTACATAGTCCACTCTGCTGTGCACTTAGAAACATGATTTTAAGTTTCTTTTCCAAGGGGGAGGTTTTCTTTTTCTTTTCCAGGAAAAAGGTTTTTCTTTCCAAAAGAAAAGAGTTTTCTTTTTCTTTTCCAAGAAAAAGAGTCTTGGTTCCAGTATCAGTCCAGCTGATGGGATGTCAGTCCTGGTTTCAGTGTCATTCCAGCTGTGTTGGTCTGGCCCATGAGATGTTCAGGGCCCTGGGGGCACACCCAGGCTTGTCATGATATCTTTTTATGGACAGGTTTCTCACTTTCTGTGTAAATCAGTTATCGTGCACAGTCTGTTCATTTAGGTCTTTCTGGGACAGAGAGCTTTGGGGGTCTCTGATGGTCTTAATCCCACCCTATAGTCCATGCTCACTTCCTGCAACTTGTTCCTGTGCTTGTGCTGTATTTGTTGTGGTTCTTCCTCATGGAAAAATACTGCCCTATCTCTGCCTGGCCCCCCTTCTCCAGCCATATATTGTTCTCACAGTGTCCCAATACCAAGAATCCTTGGTTATTATCAAGAATTTCATCTGTCATTACCAACAGTCCTTGGTCGGCTCCACAGCTATCAGTGTTTGAGACATGGGCTGTTATTCAGGCAAGAAAAACAAGTTTCTAAGGCTGTTTATTAAAATACAGGTGCTCATTAGACAGCACGAGTTCTTGGGAACAGTGTTTCTGATAAGCTCAGAGGGGCTTAATCCAAGTGCTGTTCCTCAAGGCTGAGGCCTAATGAGCATTTCTCAGTGAGGGGGCTTGTGGGGTGGAAGCTGTGCCACCACAATCCATCCCATGACTAAAGTCAGCTTCTCTGAGCCTTTACACCTGAACATGAAACTTCGAACATTTGGGAAATGCTGAATAGCAGAGAACACCACAGCAAATACCTTCAGCAGCCCAGGTCAATTCAAGGCCTTGGCACTTTGAGCAGCTGCACTGAATCAAAGCAGTTGTCAAACAGCAGTTGTCAAAGGCTCTGCTTCTCTCTTGTTATAGAAATCTCTGTGGTAAAAAAAAAGATTGTAAAGCTTGTAGGACAGGATTTTCCAGTATTGGTATGAAATCTTGAACTTTCTAAGGAAAATAAAACTATCACAAATCTTCCCGCTTTTTGCTGCAAGGACAAGACAGACTTCTTCCACTTTGCAATTCTCATTATAGATATAACATACATTCTAAATATATGCATATATTTGCATATACACATAAGTATATATGGATGTCTATTTTAAACCTGTAAACAAAAAAGCCTCCTTGACTGTCCCTGCTTTTCTCTGTCTGAAAAAGGTGGGAGAGGAATCACATGGGTTGAATGCTACTATCACACATTGAACATGGCTAAATACACTACTTGGGTGTATAAGAGTACAGCACCAATAAGAACACAGCAAAGAAGCTGAATAGATAATTTATATAGTTAAATAATATGTAGTTTATTTTTTCATATTTTTTAAAATTTACTTAATATCTTTTTATATTCACTTCTTTACTCCTCTCTGTTTCTGACATTTAGAGTTTCATTAATAAATAATTTTACTTTATATTTAGTATTGTGGGAAATTTTCAAAAACACCTGCTGTGTGAAGGAGACTTTCACTGAGACTTTGGTCTCTTGCAGAAAGTTTTGAAACCATGCTCCAAACATGGGTAAACACACTGTGAGAATCCTAAAAATATGTTGGCTGTAGGGAACACAGACAATAAAAATCAAGCCGCATTGATTGGGAACTCTGTAATGGAGAAGCTCTCCCAGTTATTTCTGAGCTCAGCGTGTGATTTAGGATGAACTGGAGCCTACCTCCTGGGAAAACAGTTTGTCTTGTTTAAAACCCTCCTCATGAGGGTTTTGACAGATTTCCCTTGGCAATCTGTTCCCATGGTTAATTACCCTCATTGCTAAAAATGTTCTCTTTACTATAAGTTTACATTTTCTTGCTGAGATGTGTGAAACTTCAGTTACAGATACTTCCCATCTGTGACAAAGACAAGCCTCCGAAGTGGGTAACCCAAAGATCCAGCTTTATCTCATACCTGTAAGGAAACAAGTGTGTGTAGGTTGCTCTCCGTAGCTGCTGTTCACAGGTGGCACAGCAGGACTGTTTTTACTTAAGGGAGGTGGTGGATCTTCCTTTGGATGCTGTAAACTGCATTGGTGCTTTGGTGGGGAATAGGAAAGCAATTCAGTTGGATTGACTTCTGCTAGAAGTGCACAAGGTGAAAGGGTGGGTGGTAATTATTTACACAGTAGCAATGATTTTTGTTCTCCTGTTGTTTCCAAAGAACCTTAACGTGAGTTTTGGTGATAGGTGCAGCTCAAGCTACCAGCCAAGACAGGGGGACAGTTGCCACCTACTGCTCATTGTTAGCTGTCTTTCCAAGGCATATGCTGCACTCAGGTTTAGGTGTGAAAAATGAAGCAAGCAGGAAACTCTCGAATAGCTGAGTGTCATTCCCAATACTATTACACAGCATAATGTTCCAGTTCATAAATCCCAGGCAGAGATCTGGCAAATTAAGCAGTTAGAAGTCCAATACTGCAGTTTCTGGGCAGGTGAAAGTATCCTTTTGACCCAGAGGGAGTCATATCTGCCTTCCCCTGGTCAGTTTTTCTGGCCTGTCCCTTCCCCTTTCAAAAGGTGGTTTTCTGCATCCCTTCCCTTCTTCTAGAGTTACATATTGTCATGGGTTTAGGGCTAATATTTTTAGCAGCAGCCAGTGAAGGGAACCCAGATATAGGGATGTTTGGTAGCCCAGTCTGGGAGAAGGGAAAAGAAATACAAACAAGGAGAAAGTTGAAGTACACACAATACAGCAGAATACAGGAATATGTGAAAGGCAATGAACCGAGTGAACCTGAGAATGGATATAATTTCTTTTTCTTGATCCCAAAACTATGTGCCAGGCCATAATGACCTCTGTATAGCTGGCTCACCTAGAAAGGGACAGGCATTCAAATACAGTAAAATAATTGCTCATGTTTGCCAAGTAGATCATAGAGTGTGAAACAAGCTCTGCTGGTAGTTGCATCTGGAAGCACCAAGCCAAGCCAGCCAGGGATCAGATTAGGAAACCTGAGCATGATACTGTTTAAGAAGCATTTTTCAAATGTATCTTCATGATTCTTTTTCATGTATGGGGAGCAGTGTGTCATCTGGAGACATTTTGGGCAAATGTATTTGATGTATTTGCTTTTATTATCAAAGCTTTGGAAATCATTCAGGCATCCATACTTGATTGCTGAAAAGGATTTTATTGAATTGTTTTGCCATCACACTTGGTTGCTTTATCTTTGTTATTTTGTGGCTCTGGAATTATTGACTGGCTGCTAATTGTGACCTATGTGCTTTTTGCTCTCTGTCAAAATGTGTTAAAAAATACACAAACTGCCAGAAACATGTGAGGTTAATTAAAAAATACTCAGAGAACAGTGAAACTTTGTGCTCCAGAATTACATTTTCAAAAATCAACTTTGTTTTGAAAGAAACCTTTCTCATATTGTGTGTTTCCTTTCATCTTTCAGAGAAAATGCCTGGAATGGTTTCTCACAATGTTCTCTGTTTCTTAAACTTAACACTACTTAGGAGACTGGAGTAGCTAGTTGATACAGATGCTGTGCACTCAAATTTTCTGTACGTTAGAGTTTCTGCAGGAGTGTAAACATCAATTCCTGGCTCCCTTTGCAGACATTTAGTCATGTGCATTCAGAGTGCAAGCTCAAGAGAAGTCCTGTATGTAGATGCAATGGGATATTTGACATCCTGAAACAACACCATTTAACAGTATCTGTTTTGTACTCTTAAAAGTGTTCTCTAAATTACCTGAAACCTCTTCATCCATTTCCCACTGCTTTTTTTAATGAAATATGGATTTTGTCACATCCTTGCTGATTTAGGATTTTTCTGGGTGAAAGGATGCATTTCTGGCAGAGCCCCTTTTTACTTTTGGTTTGCCCTTCCTTTCAGATGTACATCACAAGCACAATTAAAACAAAGAGCAGCAGGCTAGCCAAGCCTGTGCTGTGTTTGGGTACCCTGTGTGCTGCCTTCCTTACCGGGCTGAATCGAGTTTCTGAGTATCGGAACCACTGTTCGGATGTGATCGCAGGCTTCATCCTGGGCAGTGCTGTAGCCTTGTTTCTGGTAAGTCCAGCAGTCTTTGTGAATTCCTTTTAAAAATACCATAGTATTAAAAAAAATATTTTAAAAAATGCTATTTTCGTGTGGCCTGCAAGATCTAATTCTAGCCCCATTTAGTTAAAGATATCATCAGAGAGAATTCAGTATGAAATCAGGAATACTAAATGATAAGGCTAGTATGGTGACATTTGTACATTTTATATATTTTAATTCTTTTAATTCCTGTATGTGTTCTTACTTGACCTGTTCTGGAAAATTCTGTAAAGATGGTGTAGTTTTCAACTGATGTCAAAAGGAGGGTATACTTGAGACTCCTACAACACCCCTATGTTACAAAACCCCACTGTATGTCTTGTATCTGGCAAAAATGTTAGATAAAGGGTGTTGTCTGGGGCTCTGAGCAGTGGTCCTGGTTTTCCGTTTTGTTTTGGAAATAAAGAAAGTGCAGTAGAAAGGAAGGTCAGGATAAACTCCCTGCAAGACAATATTACCTCCCTCATTTGGAGTTGAACTGAAATTGTTTACCCCCTTATAGGATAACTAAATGTATTAAAATATATCAAAGGTCTTCCCACAGAATGTAGGAACAGCATCTTTCCAGACTTGAAGTGTACCTGGCTCTCCTGTGGGCTCTGTGGTTGAAGTGATTTGTTTGGTGAGAGGTCTCTTGCTGAGGATTTACTCACACAGCCAGCAGTCCAGGTCATTCTTGTTATTACCAAGAAATGTGCCTGGTTCCATTTAATCAAAATATGCTTCAAAACTATCCACTGCACAGCAGCAGACACTTTATCCCTGTAATCAGGAGGGATTAGGTTTCAATGATCCCTTAAATCTCGATTGTCCTGTCACTGATTTCTTTTTTCCTATTCTGTACTTAAAAAAGCAAAAACAACAAACCTCCACATGTCAATTGTTTCCACGTTCCCTTTAAATAAAAAGATATCTACAACCTCTGACCTGAATTTCCTTGGCTTTAATGTAAATTATTTGTCTGGTTCCCATTGGGAAGGGCAGTTTAAATCTTGCCTATGCAATGTGAGTCTGTCGTCCCAGTGCTGCTGCAAGTACGAAAGAGTGATGCTAAATTATGTTATCCAGATGTGAGGGAGATGCAGCCATCCACTGAACTGTTTTCACAGCTTGGAATTGATAAAGTCACAGTCTGAAGGGAGTATTTGGCCAGTAAAGTGCATCATTCAGGTAGTCCGTGGTTCTGGGATGATAAAGCATACATGGGAGTCTCTGCTGTGTGAAATGCAAAATGTATAAAGGCTGAGAACGGTTCATCGCCTCAGATTAACCCACTTCCCAAAGCAGTCCATCACACTCAGCCGCACTGTAGCCCAAGGCTGAGACAGGTGACGCCTTGAACCAAAACCCAGGTTAAATTCTTTTCAGAAGCTGGCAGTTGTGACCCCAGTGTTAACTCCTCTGAGTTTTCCTGAGGACAGAACACACCAACCTCACTTGTGTTTTTCTGCATTACACAGGGGATATGTGTTGTCCATAACTTTAAGGGCACTCACGGAGCTCTTTCTAAACCGAAGCCTGAAGACCCACGGGGAATGCCACTAATGGCTTTTCCGAGAGTGGAAAGTCCTCTGGAGACACTGAGTGCACAGGTACTGTAAATCCTCTCACCCAGACCCATCACCAACCACATTTTCTGTTACAGCACACTAAAAACAAGTTGTATACCTAACCATACATTCCTAACATTGAGCCCATTGAACAGAGTGAATCTGAATCAAGGCACAGTTTGTTTTAAGGCATTTATTCCTGAATTACCAAATACTGTAGATCTTTTGCCCCTGTGCACATCCACCGCTAAAAATGTAGGATTTCACATGCCTCTGCATATGGTTTGTGATAAAAAAGCTTTAGCTTAGAATAGAAAACTGAGAGAAAAGCAAAAATAATTCTGCCTAACTACATTCCAGAATACTTTTGGGATGTATGAAAGATTTAATCTTTCCTGAGAATAAACTATGCTGTCCAGAAATGTATTTATAGAGATTAGGTTTTTTTATCCTTATTACTGTTCAATATCTTCTATAATGATAAAAATCTCATACAGTTTTCTGTCTCTAAGTCCTCAGAAGAGAAGTAATAGCATTCTTTCAAGTCTGCAAAAAAAATAGCAAGTGAGAGCATCATTATTGATGGTGTTTCTGTTAAAACTACTAACTTAAAATGGCTTGTGTTGGCATAACTGAATCATACTCAGCCCCTTCAAAACAGACAAGCAAATGCCACCTGCCAAACAGGTTCTGGGAATGAGGAGAAACTGTAGTTTAAATACCCTGATGTCATTTATTTGTTCTTTAAATTATACTTCCTTTATTAGATGGTCTGTCATTCCTCTGCACGTGGCATCTAGCAAGATCAATAGCGACTTCTGTTAAACTCTTTGCCAAATAAACTGAAAAGAGGAATTTTAAAAAAAATGGAAAAGACAGTTTTCTAATGCCTGGAAATATTTTGCTTAATTGAAAAGTCAGTTTTGATTAGGCAAAGATTTACTGGAAGACTTTCCACTAAATCTGCAGAACCTTGTGCATTAAATGTTCTCTTTGTGTGTTTGCAGTTCAGAAACTAAGCACTGCTTAGATGTCCACAGTGTCATGTATGACAAAAAGGCTGAGCAGGGGAAAATATAGACTATGAGAAAAATTTAGTCAAGTCAGCTATTTATAGCTGCTGAGCTGTGAAGTACAGGTAGCGACTGGACCTTAACTGTTGATGTCCTATAAATCAACAACATAATTTTCAGGGTAGCAGTCTCTTCATGACCATACATCTACAATGCAGGAGTAGATTGGGGAAAATGTGATCCTATTCTGAAGATAGTATAAACAGGTCTTTGAGAGCACATGCTCCTTACTGTTTCTTCAGGTATAGGTGGTACAACGTCCTTCTCTGTGCAGATTTCTGCATCTATCCCCAGTCTCGTTTTGCCTTGCACCCACACAAACCCTGCAGAGGCAGCATGATACAAGGATGACTTAGTACTGCCAGGAGTCCTGGACATTGGCTCCCAGGAAGGTTAAATCTACACTGCCACCTACAGAGGACTTCTTGTTGCTGCATGTCTGTGGCTGCATGTGTTTTGGCATATTGACCCACCTCCATATGGTTTTAAGTTCTTTATGTTCCTTAGGATCAAAGTGTGGAGAATCCACGTGCACTCATCAGATGAAGCCCAACCGGTCTCCTAGTCTCTCCTGAGGACAGACCCACTGTATTGGTTATGTGACTGTATGAAGCACTTGAGCCTCTGCAGACCTGTCCCTCTGGACAGGACCCAGTCCCATTTGAAAGTCCATGTTGGAAAAGTCCCACCTTGGTTTTACAACCTGTTAGTGAGTGTTAATAACAGCAGGGCTTGAGTTCAGCAATTCCCACCACACACTCAGGACAGGCAGCAGTCACTTTTGCAGTCTTAAAGCCCTGGCTTAGCTGAGCGACAGGTTTTATTAGCAAAGGGTTTTCTCATTCATTTTGCACACCAAAATATGTAAATGCCAAACTGTTTACAAATGTTCATGTGTTTGCCTTTTCTTCTTTGCAGAACCACTCTGCCTCTATGACTGAAGTAACCTGAGATGGAAGATTGGCAGCCGGAGCTATTTTTTACTACCCTCCAGTACAGTAGTCCAAGACACACAGTTACTAAATGTCTAACTGTGATGACCAGTATTATGTTATGTCTAGTTAGAGGCTAATGTTTTGTACTTTTTTTGTATGAGGAAGTGATGTAGCTTGCCCTGATTTTTTTGTCAGCTTTAATATTATTATGCCAGACTTTAAAAGCAAAACAAAAAATAACAAAAAAAAACTTTTCTTGTTTAAAGTGTGCACTGAGGAACTACATCTATGGAATTGTTGATGTTGTTATGTGATATTTGTACACTTTTTTTTTTCTTTTCAGTTTTGAATTTATATATCTTGAAAAAAGAAACATTCATTTTTACCTTTTCTTACCGTAAGAAGTGCTTCTACCACTGGGTTACATTCTGATCTCAGTAAGGTCAGCATAGATCTGAAGTAATCTCATATATTTAATTCATATTAAAATAATGGTGATCAGGAATCTGACCTGAATGATACTATCAACAAGTAGCAAAAATCCATCCTTGATTCAGTGGGCTACTTAAGTGTTCCCTAGGGATGCAGTTTAGCCACCCAGTTTCCAGACTACTTGGCAGACTTAAAGCATGTTCTTAAGCACCTCACTGAATCAAAGCCTGATTGTTCTGGTGTGGGTGATTGTGCTGGTTATTGAAGAATAACTAAAACAACATCCTCAGTCTGCAGTATAGACAGACTGGACATGAAAATTTATAGTAGTAGCTGATAGCATGTGAGCTGACTATATCATCTCCCTAGATCCTCATTCCTCCCCAAGGCCCAGCTGAAGCTCCTGGTGAAACCTGGCTTCAGGAATTGACTATGGGGATATACAGCCACCACTGTGGAGCTGAGGCTGTGCTCTATGAGTGTTTCATCACTTCATCATAGATTTGTGGGGTAACTAGTGACACTGCTGCAAAGTAAAAGTGGCACCACTTCTCCAGCAGGGCAGCATTCTCTGGCATTCCAGTTGGCATAACCAAGGAGCCTGTTTTGCTCCCCAAAGTGTATTTTTCCCTGAGGGGCTTTGGCAAGTTAAAAAAAAAAATTAAACAAAAGAAAATAAAAAGCTGACAGCCCTGTAGTAGCAGTCTGCATTTTTGTAAATTCTGCCAAACAGAATTTATATCAAAACTGCTATTTTACAATTTAACAACTTTGTCTAAGGATTTTAAAGACAATTAATTAAGTATGGGTTAGGGGTGGGAGAGGAAGAAAAAAAAAGTCCATTTACAATGGCTAGAATTGGGGCAAAGGCTTCATTACATGATTTTTCACTGTTTCTAGGATTTTCCTGCATCTCATTCTTTTAGCATGGTGATAACTGCTGTATGTCTCCTTTAAAGAATGGAGCCTCTGTCTGTACTTCTACTGGAATGTTTACCTCACATTTCCATGTTGGTTCTTCTTGGCTTTTTTTTGTATATTTTTTCCAAAACAGAAGTGAAAAAAAAAATGATCAAAAAAGCAAACATGTAGCCTGGTCTCTGTCACTTGCCTGGGATACAAAGAAAATATAGGATGTCTGTTTCTGTCTGGTCTTGCAGTGTTTCTTCCAGGTCAGTATTTTCTTCGACTCTACAGATGTGTGCTTCAGGCTTAGGAATATAAGGATCAGACTTGGGCCATGCAGGCTTTCTGTGACCATGAGGAGCCGTTGATAAGTGTTCTGGGTTCCTCACTACAACTTTGATCAAAATTCCAGGGGGAAAAAATCTGTTCTCAACTTCTCTGCTAGGAAATACCCTCCCAAGTAGGCTTTTTTACACTTTTGTCTGGTCTTCTCTACTGGTCTAAAACCAACAAACTGCATGAGCAGGGCTTTTGCATACTTATTCATTTATAATTTAATTCAATAGAAGTTAGGTACTTTTGAAAGCCCAAGGATTAAAAAGTGATTAATCCCCTAGAAGTCTTACCCCCTTCCATGGCACAGGCATTCTGTGCTAGACTACGATCTCATTTCAGATTTCTGTTAAGAAGTTTTGCATCTCAAATGTCTGATCCCCTTCTGCTGTGCTACAGTCCCTGTGCTGACGGAAGCATGAGGTTTGCACCTCAAAAAGAACTAAGTGTACGAGATAAGGGAAATGGCAATTTGACTCAACTCAGACAGTCAAACCCAAGATGAGCTGTTGTCATGCTCCTCTCTTGCCTAATTTTCAGTCTTCAGTTTTTCCACTCTGTTCTGATAACTTTGCATGAGCTATCAAAGTTACATACTGGGAGAGACAGAGAAGGGGCAGATAAACATGAAGTTCAACTACCACTGAAAGTATTTTCTTAGATAATGAGTGTTAAGAAGAAACAAGGAGGTGCAAATATCTCTGGTTTTTGATGGGAGGAAGACATAGTTTCATGAAAAAATACTTCTAATTTATTGCTGCCGAACAGCCTCTGAAGCAGCCAAGATGACAAACATTTAGCCATTTGTCACGCTGTGGTTTCCCATAAGCTGCAGGGGAGGGATTTGGGAACTTTCAGCCTTCCACAGTGACCAGTGAAACATCCCCAGCTCACTCGCATTCACCCCACAATGGAACATGTAGCACTATACACTTTTACTATTCTGTAGATCCCCAAAAGCCAAAAGGAGAAAACACTGGGTTTCTTAAACTTCTTCAGAGCTGTGAGAAGGGAGAACTTGAGAAGTTTGCTCAGTCAAGAAACTGAGCACTGTGACACACAAAAGCAGCAGTGCCTGAGTGTGTTTGGGGTGTCTGCTGAAAGAAACTGGGGGAGCAAGGGTTGAGGGCAGTGAGTGTTGTAACCAGGACATTTCTGATCATTCCCAGAAAAAAAACCCCACGCATACAGACTCTAACCTTATTGGAAACAACCTGTTTCATCACAATTCATGAAGTACCACAGATTTCTCAGACTGTTGCATTTATTTTATTGCCTTCCTCACTTTTCTGCTTGCCTCCTCTGATTAACAGCAGACCTGCATCATCCGTTAGACAGCAAGAAAAACTAAACATACAGGTAACATATAAGAAAAACTAACAACTATTAGAAGGAGACACAAAAATTAAAAAATAGGTTTTTAACAGACACTGAAGAATTCAACAAGGTGCTTTGATGGCAGGTGTTTTTATAGGGCTGTTAGGGAGTTCACCATTACTGAGGTAAGAGATGTCACAATTTTACCTGGCCCTATTTTCATGTAGCAATTTTGAGCAGCACAAGCAGTTTCACTTCTAAGATGACACCTGTAATAGCTTTTACAAACCTTATTGCTGACAGGCTCTTACTTTTAATCTCAAGGACAAAAAAAAATTAGGATGGCTCACCTTCCCCCTCCTTCCCTAGGTTTGTCAGCCCTGCTGGTCATGGTGGCAGAGGTGAATGTGGTTCCTGACACAGTCCAAATGCACACACAAAAACCCCATCACGCAGCTCAGAACTGAAGACAAGTTTAGGAGGTTGTACAGGTTCAACCCCAGCCAGCCCAGCCCCAGTCAGCCCTTTGCTCACTCCCCCACCAGCGGGATCAGGGAAAGAATTAGAAGGGTAAAAGCTGGGAACCTTGTGGGTTGAGATGAAGATACTTTAATAGGTAAAAGAAAAGCCACACACACAGGCAAAGCAAAATAAGGAATTAATTCCCTGCTTCCCATGGGCAGGCAGGTATTCAGACATCTCCAGGAGAGCAGAACCTATCACATGTAGTGGTTACTTGGGAAGACAAACACCATCACTCCAAACATTGTTCCCTTCCTCCTTTTTTCCCCCACTTTATGCACTGAGCATGATGTCTTATGGTCTGGAATATCCCTTTGGCCATTTGGATCACCTGTCCTGGCTGTGTCTCCTCCCAACCTCCCATGAACCCCAGCCTCCTCCCCAGTGTGGAAAACAAAAAGGTATTGTGTCTGTACAAGCCTTGCTCAGCAATAACAAAACCATCTCTATATTATCAACCCTGTGTTCAGCATCAGCACAAATCCAAAATGCTGCCCCACACCAGCCACTGGGAAGAAAGTTACCTCCACCCCAGCCAAAACCCAGGACAGAGATGCAGGGCAGGGACCGTGGAGTTGGTCACCCCTGTTTATCCCCACTGGAGCCAGAGATGCAAGGGAGCAGCTGGCAGTGCCCACACTCCTGGTCTGCAGGGAAAAAAAGGGCAGAACAGACAATAGTGAAAAACCCGAGCACGACTCAGAAAACTTTTATTAGTGAAATTCACACATTTCACTGCAAGGAGGGGACTCTGCCGCTGCTCTGCAGGAAAGGTCCGTGGTGGGACTCACTGCTTCCAGACGATTTTCAGGTTTGGTGGCAGCTCTGTGGCCGCGAGTTCATCGAATTTGGTCGCGTCCTTCAGGGGGGTGCGGTAAAAACCCAGGACGTCCCCGGCGCAGCGCATCAGGTGGAGCTGGGAGTTGGGCACAGAGTGTCCCAGCTCCACCGCCAGCCGCGCCAACAGCCGGAACTTCAGCCTGTTCTCCTGCAGGGGCGTCTGCTCCCAGTCTTGGGGGAGGGAGGACCCAAAAACCTCCCTGACGTGGCACTCGAGGCGGCCCTGCAGGTCCTGCGGGGGGAGGTAACTTCGGCTGCGCGGCGGGGGGCACAGCAGGCTGGGCTCGCTCCTCTCCTCCTTCTCAGAGATCCCCGCTTCCACTTGCACTTCTTTCTCCTCCTTCCTGTTGGCACCACAAAAGAAGCGTTTTCAACCTCTGGGCTGGCTCAGAGTGCTATTCTGTTCAAGGTGTTTTAACGCAGGCTCAATCCAGACAGTGTCCTTATCCATGAGGGACAAAACCAGACAGGGTTTGGCGGTTTTCCCCAAAGGCTGCTCACCACACAGGCTCCCTCTGCAGAGCCACCACTCGCCCACCCACCTTATCTCACTGGCCTGTGTGGGAACACTTTAACCAGAGTAATTACTTGTCTTCCCACTTACCGCTGTGTTTTCTAATATGAATTTAAAAAAAGGGATAACAGAAAATAACCACTACTACAGAAAAAAAATCAGTGCCCAAGTACCAAAAAAAAAAAGAAATAAAAAATTCATCACTAGTTTTAACCACAACACTTGACTTGCTCATATGCCACACTCTAGTCAACAACCCACGCATGGTCTCACCTAAAACGCTGTACAGGAACTACCATTTTACATTCCTGTGAAATCCCTCCTTTCCCACCCCTAACAAAAAGCAGGTGACAGCACTAAAGACTCTAACCCTGCACCACCACCACCACGCCCGCCCGCCAGCAGTGCGCCTCGATGGGCGCTTGATTCCCACGGAACCTGCTGGATCTCCTTCCCTAAAAACATCCTGGAGCTGCCTGGACACAACCCCGAGGGACGCGCTCGGTGGGGGGGGGAGTGTAAGACCAAGGCCCCTCCAGCACCTCCACGGCCCGCGAGAGGTTCACATGCCACCCCCTGGTGCCCTGCGGTACCTGCGGACACCCCAGAAGGCCCTGAGCCCCGCAGGGCCCAGCCCGGGCCGCCCCGGCCCCGTCACCCTCAGCGCCCGCACCGCCGCCATACTCCTTCTCGCCGCCGCAGTGACGACCTTTCGCCACGCCCGCAAAGCCTCACGGGAAATGTAGTCCCGTGGCCGCCCCCTCAGCGCGGGAATGTGTCGGGGGTCTCGGCTCCCACCGGGAGAAGGCTCCAGGGAGACCTTTCTGCGGCCTCCCAGTGCTTCATGTGGACTTGTAACAGAGAGGGAGAGGGGATTTTTACACGAGCAGATCGTGACAGAAAAAGTGGGGACGGCTTTAAATTAAAAGAAGGGAGATTAGGAAGGAATTCTTCCCTGTGAGAGTGGTGAGCCGCTGGCACGGGATGCTCATAGAAGCTGTGGATGCCCCACCACTGGAAGTGTCCACGGATAGGTTGGAGCAACCTGGTCTAGTGGAAGGTGTCCCTGCCCCTGGCAGAGGGGTTTTATCTGTATCTGGTTGGAAAAATAGAATCTTTAAGGTCATTTCCAGTGCAAACCATTTCGTGGTTGATCCTGTGATGCACGGATCAGAGGATCAGCAGGATGCTGCTCGTGGGTAGCAGAGGTTTCACTGAGCTCAGGTGTGTGAAGGCACAACCACAGCCAAGCCAGGAAAGGGGTGTCATTCCTGATGCTGGTATTGGCCTTTGGGGAGTTTTTTTGGCAAGTTTTTGCTCTTCATTCACTGTCAGGACAGTCTAAATCAAGCATTAATTGCTCAGTGGTTGGATCCACATGAAGGAGTTTGGCTGTTTATTGCCCCTGTGACAGGTTACTGACACAGAGGACAGGAGGAAGTGTTTACAGGACAGTGATTTTCACATGTTTTTCCAGTTGTTGGCAGGAGCAGGGAGTGCCTGTGGCCGGGAGGAGCAGCCAGCAGAGTGGGATGACCCTAGAGGGTCAGGAGCTCCTCTGGGAAGCTTGGCTGTGAATGTTTGGGGGGCTGCTCCAAGGCCTCACTGTTGATTGGTGTAGTGTGCAGCCAGAAGAATACTCTTCTATAACCT